GGTAGGCCGCCTCTATGTGATAAACAATTGGCAACCAAACGGTGGCTCGCTAAAGCGATATATTATGAAATTAAATTAATCACTCAATAAGTTTTAACGTTAGATTGTTTCCTCGATATGGCCATGGTGGTCATCAGTGACTGGAGTGCCTCAAATGTTTAGAATAATTAAAATAAAATAAATGTTGTCAACTAAAAATTTTGAACGTCATAGCTAGCTAGACATTATTTTCAATTGAAAAAAAAAAATTATAAAGCATAATACTATAATCCTATGCTTAAAATGTATTTTCTTGTGGCCGCCTGACAGCAACCTGTAAATCTGGCGCGACAGTGAACGTGTTAATAAGTAAATGTGGTTCAAATTATGTCGTGTTTGATATCATTTTCATCAGAAAAATCTCAGCAACATGTTAAAAAAAATTCTAAATGAAGAAAAGTAAAATTAAAGAAATTATATTTTTCGATTTTGATTTGTCGAGCCGTGTAATCTCGTAAAGGAAACCGACTGGTGTAGCGTTACACGTTTGACTGACTGCGAGCGAGATAACATGAGCGACGCAATGAAGCAGACCTGGGCGTAGGACCATCTATACTGTCACTTGTAGAATCCAAACTTACTGACTCTTGCAGAGAATTTACTGTACTCGATGAAATTTCGAACGAATCGAAGAGTGCAATTACGGGTTGCACGTTTTCCCTGCAATTTCTTGTTCGAATTATACGAGGAATGCGTAGTAGGTGATTGCATTCGGCACAGGTTTACAAATGCGATGCAACAAGGTCTCGTGAAACGCGCGCGACTTTTCTTCGTGATCGGCCAGATGCAGGTCGCACATGGAGCTTTGTACTTTTATGGTGTTCCACGAAAACCGGTAGACATTCCCGCCAAGGCATCTTCTGTTTTTGTCACAAGCCTTGTAACTATAATTAACTGGCCAAGAATTCGATGGCGTTTATTCTCTTTCGAGAATTGTACAATACATAATTATCATTTCAATTTGAGCACTTTTTCTGTGGAATATTGGATTATTTTTTTTTTCTTTTGGAATAGAAAAACTTTTAAATTTTTTCTTTTCATTTTTGGAATAGAGAAATATTTAATTTTTTCTTTTCTTTCTGGAACAGAGAAATATTTATTTTATTTATTTTCTTTTTAGAGAAGAGAAATGTTTAAGTTTCAAAAGTCATGTAATGGTGTAACGTTTAATTAGAAATTTGAAACAACTTTTTTTAATCGTTTAATCTTTTGTTTCGTTATATTTCTCATTATAGTTTTGAAATAGTTGAGTTTCGAAATTACGTAGTGCAGTTTTCACCATTCTTTCACTCAATTGCCTTAAGAAGATGTATCTGTCACTTCGAAAAATATATAGAACTTGTGTTTAAAGTTTGTTTTTCATTGATTTGAATTAACTTTTCTCTCGTTTATTTCGTTGGTCTCAAGTTTATCCTTATACTGGTTCTCCTTGTGTGGTTTTGCTATAATCTTGATAGTTTTCTGCATACACTCTGCGATCGTACATTCAAACACGGAGCAGTACTGAGTCATCGAAAACACTTTACGACCTTCGTTGTATCAAGGAAAAATTGGTACGAAAGTGGAACTAGTTTTTACTTTTGTATCGTCACTCTCCATTCGATGTTCCTTTGACGAGTCTTGCGGTTTAATGTCCCGTCTATGAGAGCATTTTTTCTTTTTTCTTTTAAAGAAAGTAAGATTGCCTTTTATTCGAAGATACATTTCTCACGATAACTTTTTCCTTCGATTTCTTACATAAAACGATCCATGGTAAACCCACAGTTTTATCGTCGATGCAAAAAAGAGAGAAACAGACTTTGAAGTGTAAAGAAAAGCAAGCTTAACCCTTTCTTTTCCCCTCAAGCTTAACCTTTTCTCAAGAATTTATAATGGACGCTAAATTGAGATCAATTTACTCAAATGGAACGTATAAATCTCATTGATTACGAAAGGGTTAAAGAATGTTCTCGTTTCTTCAACATCGAACACTGTACAAGTAGAAAGGTGAAAGAAGAAAATTTCTAACGCATGTTAAATTCAGAGTAATTTTTCTTCGAGTACTGAAATGGAACAAAAAAGGGTTACAAAATGTTCTCTTTTTTTTTCGGAAATCAACGATAATTTCATTTCACAGTTGCAACGTTGTACAAATAGAGAGATTAAAGAAGCAAACAGTAAATTGAACTGTTGCTGGCTTTAATTCGCAATTAACTATATACGAGCGTCCCTTTCGTTGCACTAGCATTCTTATAAAAACTTGTCAAGTTTCACTGGAGTTATTCAACGTTAAAGTTGCTCAAGCGTAATTGCCTATTCTAATATTTGCTCATCTTTGCGTTTCACTCTGTCCTCTTCCCAGGCACAGCAGGGGAAGCAATTACTGGGTAGCAGATAATTATCCGCAGCTTATGGCAGACTTCTGGAACATCATATTCGTGTATTCTGCGCGTGTGTGGTAGTGAGTAGGGTTTCGGAGTGCGAAATACAAATAATGACCATCACTGGAATTTTCCCTGTTGCAACTTTCCGAGCAATTTATTCGCTTAAAGCTTTGTAAACGTTTCGAACGTGTTTGGACGACTGGGATTACATTTTTTCGAGCTTAAATCGTTCAATTTTTGAAAATTGATTTATTTATCGTAACTCACTTTGAGAGATATTAGATTTCGCATGGAACGCGTTTCAAAATTTAATGCTACATTGTTAGTCGTGAGTGTGACGCAATGTAATTATTAGACTACGGGCGTTTGTGCGATTATGGCGCATTGAAATATGCAAAATAGACGAGAGTAACGTTAGAATCTCTCGAGATACATAAAGAACAATATTAATTCATAAATGAAAAAATGAAAGAAATAAATCACTTCATGAATATATGCAAGATAATTTTCTTAGTCTTTCAAAATCGGAAATTACCACGAATATGCGATTCGATTAATTATGAAAATTCACGTTTGAATGTAAAGTGTTAAGATAATTACTCTGGAGATCAAAATTTTTAAAAATTTTCTTGCAAATATATCTTTATTTCGAACTTAAATTTAAGTTTCAGCCCAACCCGATTAATTCAAAAATAACTTTGCGCAGCCCTCTCAGATTTTTCCTAGAAACATTTGTCAAAAATATAAAATGCTTCCTATCGCATCTGTAACACCGTAAAACCTATTTTTACCTTGTTGTTGACATAACAGGCGTGCATTTCTCTCGAGAAATTTCCGCTAGTTTAAATCGTATATCAACCAGGCAAATTTACGGAAACAGTTAGAAAAACATGGTTACGGTTCTCCTTCGGTTGACCAGGCATAGAAATTTCAGACCTCCATCAAGGGTGTGAAGATTTATTAAGAAAGTTAGGTCGTTCAAGGTCCCCGAGGCTCTTAATTTTGGATAACATTCTGAGCGATCCGGGGCGTTCGTCACATGTTCGAAGCGAGTCAGTCCCTCGCTAAACACGAGCCAGCAACGTCACGGGGGGTTTCTCCACCACGATTAACTTCCATCGCGTATGAGAGGAGTGGGGGAAGAAGGGTCGCCGTGGCCGCGTCGAGCGTGCACCATGAGTTTTCGTTGGGCAGCGGAAGGAGAAGGTTCTATCCTCGTGTCTACCGTAGCGCACAGTGTCGGTTATATTTCTCACCAACGTTCTTCCATCGTTGCATCTTATTTTTCCTACGAACATGACACGAACTGTGATTCCTCGTTGTTATTATGTGTGAGAAACAGATTGTCCCCTTCAGATTCAAGATCGAAGATAACTGTTAAGGGTTCTCTGAGATCCTCGTTACGAATGTCTACAAGGTAATTAATTACTTTCGTAGCTTCGAGTTTTCGTTACATATTAGTGCACGCTGTGTTACGTTCTTTACTGGTCGAATGAACGAAGCTGGAAAGAATTAGGAAATTTAGTTGCTTTGGGAAGGTTCGTAGTTTTGTGATTGTGATTGATCGTCGGATTTTGTGAATATAGGAATAACAGTTAGTAATATTTACATTTGAACAGTTCAATTGTATAATGTTTGCAGGAGTTGAGTAATGTCGAATGTTTCGACTGGAACTGGCTTTGTTTTCTTAAGCGAACGATTTGGTACCGCGTATAGGTCGAAGTTTTAATTTTCATTTCTCTGCAATTCTTTAGGGAGCGTATTCATGAGATGTCTGCGAGTATGTACATTTTAAATAAACGCTGTATCCTTGTCAGAATTATACCAGCGACTGTTATCTGTTAGTTAACCGTATTAAAATATAAAACGAAGCGATTTGTAATTTAGACTGGGTCGTGGTACTCTAATTATTTACAAAGCTCGTTATACAACGCCTTACAATCTTCGGCGAGTTAATTACCTGCGTCTTCAAGGGGGTTAGCTTCATAAACGCGTGATTAATATTCTGTGATTACGCGGTTTTCATAAAACCGCTTAATTACCTATCTTACTTTATAATCTTGAGAAAAATTCTAATTTCACGCGTTAAATATCAATTCGTCACTATTTCTTTCTTCCATACGTGTTTGTTATTGAAAGTTTAACCTTAGAAGGAAACATTCGAATCTGTGCTGCCCTTGATTCTTCGCTTCAACTATGCAAAATGACTTCATACCAGCCAGATATTATTTTAACCGTGTCCTCCTATAGTAACACGCATTGAACCACTGAACAAGAGCAGTTTCGTGGAATAGTCTTCTCTAAATCTACCTGCTCGAATTCCAACAACACATGCAAATCGGTCAGTGCACTTTTCTTTGAAACGAAACGTAACGGTATACAGGGTAAAATTAAACATAGTGTAATACGACCATAAAATGTTAATCGTCTGATAATGAGTTCACGGTCCGTCGCTGTTTTGATTCTTTGCCTCTTGGAATCCACGTGCACGATATACGAGAGAGGCAAAACGATAGTCGTGACCAGTTCGCGTTAAATGGAAGATACGATTTGATAAAAATCAACTGTGAAAAAACAAACTGATCTACACTTGATGCATATTTTTAAATATGATTTGTTTGTATTTTTTTTTTTTTAATTCCATTCACGGTAGAAATTAGTCGAACGTTGCGAGTATATATTTGAGGAGCGATATTTGTTAAGTTTTATGGTGTTTTCACGAAGAAAGAAGAGTACACTTGACACGGTTTTGATCGAAACGATGACTGAACGTTGACCGCGTTAATAAATTCCACGTAACACTACAAGGAGGACAACGCTGACGGAAATATATTTTTGGAACACAATTTTGGCATTAAGCGTCTGCGAAGTCGGGAGACGTATGCTTTGCATACGTGACCTGGTCAGGTCTAGCGTTCGAGTAACTTTATTGTTTGCAGCGGTGAAATATCGCCGAATGGTCGAGTTTGTTAAATATGCAACTTGCAGTCGAGGGTACTCTGTCGATGCACGTTCGAATAAGCAAAAATTTGTGTCGTTCAATTTTTAAGTTTTAATAAAAAAACGCTGTATTTGTGTTTAAATACGGACTCTTTGGAATGTTATACAAGTAAATAATTCTAATTTTGTTATTGTACGTTTCGGTAAATAAATATTTTGTGGGAATGAAAAAATTTATACGTTTATTGAAATATTAATAACAGGCTCTATAACCTTATTTAAATATATCTCTTTGAAATGTTACAAAAGTAAATCATTCCAATTTGGTTAATGTACATTTCAATAAATAAATATTTTATTCCTAATATTTTTTAATATTGTCTGAATAAAAAATTCTATACCTTTTGTTTACACCTTTATTTTATTTTCAATTTATTTTCAAAATTAATCGAAAGAAGTGTGTTATTATATGAAACGAATAAAGAAATCGTTCTAATTAATTTTTTCGTCAACGGTATTACGCTGTTTATTCTTAATATTTTACCAAACGCGTCAATATGCAATTGAGTGCAGGTTACATAAGGGCGCTTGCATGATTCTATTACGGTGGCACTGAAATGGTTTCGCCGTAGGAAGCAGAATGTTGCATAGTTGCACTATTTTTGAGTAGCACGAGCAAAATGTACAAAGAAGTAGTCATATAGTACTGCTCGTGTAAACCAGTAGTTCAAAACGTTCAGCAATCGTGGTATACACTAATTTATTTGCATTTAAATTAAAAATTTGAAATTAAAATTTCTAATCAATTATAAATTTATGCTACGCTTAATTTTCACTAATTTAACTCTTTCAAATTATTTGAATATTGCGTTAGTGAAAGAATTATTTTTTCATCGTAGGTAATTGTATTTCTTTTTCTCGTAGTTTTAGCATAAAGTAAGTCTTCCATAATAGACTTCCGCGATGCAATTTTTTCTTTATTAAATTAGTTGGCAATTTTGTTTCTTTGATAGAGTTACGTACCGTATTTACACAATTACCTTACTTTGATGAGAAGCTGCACTAGGGTTCTTTATCGATTCAGTTTGTTCGCTCGCGGACCTGAGAAGAACGGGTCGAAATTCTCTATTTTTACGAGACGCATTCAGCCAAAGTTTCTACCTGTTTCTTGTTGCAATCTAGACTGGTTCCAGTCATGGACCACGAAGCGAGACAGACGCGCTCTGGCAGACCCGCTACGCCTTCATTCCGCGACATTATTTTCTATGAACTGTGTTTCTTCCACGGGTTCACCTAGAATTTACAGTTTCCACGTTCAGCGTGAGCAGATCAAAATCTAGCGCACTAACGTCAAAACCTTTATCATATTCTCCGTATGATGAACAGATATGAAAAGTGTTTCCTCTTTATGCGGATTTTTTTTTTTTTTTTTTGGACTACTTTTGTATTATTCGTAGAAAACAACGTTTCTTTAAGGATACATGTGTAAATAAAAATTTGGAGGTTAGTAAATGTCTTTTTGAATTAATTGCTGGGGTTAATTTTTATCGATTCATTTGTGAAATTATCGTTGTTTTGCACTTTGAATTAAGAGGAAATATATTACGTGGAATTTTACTTTTCATTGAGTGTGATAGATCTGTCAAATCTTATGATTTTTTGATAATTTTAGGGAAATATGAACTTAGAAATAATTTAAGGAAATTAGTAATATTTCAGCTATGAATAAGCACCATTTACTTAAAACAATAGCAAAATAATACAAGCTACTCTTTTTTTTCCCTATGAAAGTAGTACAAATCTAATTTTGAAAAAAATGGGACAAAATTAATTTCATAATTAATATTTCCTATAAAACCAAAAATATTTTAACACTTC